CTGTGTCCTGTTCTCTGCATGGCTGCAACGTCAGCTCTCGGCCCAGAGCACCCCGAGGTCTGCGAGGACAGCAGGGCCCTGGTGCTGAGCAGGGTGTGCAGGTACCTCCACACTGCTCTGCAAAGGCTCTCCATGAGCCACGTGAGCCAGTGCCACAGAATCACAGAATATCCTGGGCTCGGAGAGACTCACAAGGGCCACTGAGTCTAACTCCTGGCCCTGCACAGACACCCCAACAATCCCCCTCTGTCCCTGCAAGTATTGTCCAAACCCTCCTGGAGCTCTGGCAGCCTTGGGGCTGTGCCCACTGCCCTGGGGAGCCTGTTCAGTGCCAACCACCCTCTGGGGGAAGAACCTTGTCCTTAAATCCAGCCTAAACCCATCTTGACACACCTTCATGCTCAGGACCTATCACTGTTCATCAGAGAGAGGAACTGTTGGCTGTGCAGATGTGTTGGTGCTGCCAGTTACAAAGAAAACCTCCAGGACCATCATCATGGTCCTCCACTGAACTCACTCCAGGAGCTCCATGTCTCTCCCGTCCCAAGGAAAGGACTCAGCATTGCGGGTCCAGCATCCAAGACTGAGAAGAAGAGCAGGATCACCTCCCTCTGCCTGCTGACAACACTCCACCTCAATATTTCCACTTCCTCTTGCCCTCTGCATTAATACTCTTTCAATTCTGCACTTCCCTTTTCTGGATGTTCTCATGGCAAGCTCAGGAGTTGCTCTCAACTTGCATTGAACCCGAAAACCCAAAGGGGTGCCCACCCATCTCCCAATCCCAGCTGGCCTCCAACCGCTGGCTGCTGGCATGAGGATGTGCTGGGAACTGGGATCCCCCAAAACAGACCCTGAGCCGGTGGCACTGGGAGCAGGAGCCCCACAGCACATCCCAAGTTCGTGGCACCGGGAACAGGGAGGCTCTAACAAGGCCCTAATCCCCCACTAATGGGAACAGGGCCCCCCAAAACCCACCCTGAGACACTGGGGGGTGCGGGGGTGTCCCCATTTTGGGGGGGGGAGGGGGGTCAGAGGGTACCACGTGCGGTCTGTCCCGCCGCCGCCAGAGGGCGCTCGAGCCGCGGGAGCCGCTTCCAACGGGAGAGCCGGGATTTGGGATGTGGGAATGAGGGATGGGAGCGTGGGATGTGGGAGCGAAGGA